AGCAATGCAATGGTATAAGGTATTTAAATGAAAGAAAGAGCGATTCCAGTGATGCAGTTGTTTTGGTCAATTGCTCAATGCTGAATGGAACTTGTTCTGTCAGACTGTTCATCATTGAAGTTTGATGAACATTGTATCCTTGATTAAAAAAAAAAAATTCCAAGATACAAATAGTTTTCCTTCTTTAATTTTCTTTAGAAGTGCCCCCAGCACTACATTTTAGTGGTAGTTCTCTTTTGTTTATAAAGTGAGAGATCTCAAATTTGTCTTGGAGGATGAATTTGGTACCTAATTATTATGGTTAACTCATGTTGTGGCTTAATATTTCCTGCGGGGGTGGAAATGAATCTCAAATTGTTTTTCACAAGGTATATCAGGCAACATTTTGAGAGTAGTGTTGATTGGCCACTTGCCATAAACAAGGGTAGGCACGGTTTGGTTCAGTGCGGTTTTAGGTAAAATTGAAACCTAATTTTTTTGCGGTTTGGTTTGGTGTGGTTTCGAAGCTTGAACCGAAATGTAACCAAACCATTTAGGTGTGATTTGATTCGGTTTCAAACATTTTTGGTTTCAATTTCAAACAATACAAACAAGGTATAGTTAGGTGTTACGAATTGTGTTACTCTGCGTACTGGACGCCGAGTGATTTTATGATTGGATACTCGCAAGTAAGTTTCAGGGTTCGGCATTCCAATGGCCGAACTACATTTACCATCAAGACGTACATCACATTTGAGTACCTGTGCCCATATAGTTTGGTCTCGATTCGACGTGCTTATACTCTTACGAATAGAATCACAGTGACCGAATCGGGCTCCGACGATTTGTGAACTCCGCAGAATTAGTAGCCTTGTCTTCAGGCTATAGAACCCAGAGACCGAGAGTGTTCCTTCCTCGGTCGCAATCGCAAGATAGAGAAGTCAACGACGCGCTCAACGCGACATCAACGAATTTTACTCCTCGGCCAAGCTCGGCCGACGAGTTGGCACGCCCTGCATTCAACCGAAGGACGTAGTTAGCTTATTGGTTACTCGGCCTACGCGCCACGTAGGTTTTGTAATTTTTAGAGTCAACAGATTCATATAGCTGACCCCACTTATTGAGAAAAGACTTTGTTGTTGTTGTTGTTGTTGTGGACGTGTATGCCAAGGAAGCGATGTAATCCACTAGAGACGTGACTAAGAAGTAAGTCTCCTATCCAACTTTATCGGATTATGATTCCTAGTTTGTTTTTTCGTCAAAGGATTCCTAGTTCAACCCTGAAAAACCCTAAAAATTGATGTCGGCTTTATATATGCACAGACGTGTGTGGGTATATGTCCATGCCATATGCAGGATCTGTTGCAAAGCTCTTTCAATCTCTTATCATCAAAACAATGAGTATTGATGATGGTCTGTTGACTGAAATCCTTTGTCGACTTCCTTGCGAATCCGTTACTAGATTCAAGTCCGTGTCGAAGCGTTGGCTCGCTCTTATCTCTGATCCTTCTTTTGTTAATCTGACAAGAGATACTTTGTTTTACCACTCCAAATTTGAAGACGAAAGGGAAAGTTTTACCATGTCTGTGGAGCCTTCCGGTTGTGGAGCCAATAAGAATTAATAACGGAGGTCCGATTGTGGTAGGGAACACATAATGACTTTTTTGTGTTGTGCAACCAGATACTGTCAACGCGAGTACTACCTCTGCAATCCACACACAAAGCGATGGGTTGGTCTTCCTCCAGCACCTCAATGCCGCGGCCTTGGACAAGTAGGATTCTTGTGTGATGCTTACTATAGGTATGTTGTTGAGAAAATTACACACACTTACGACCCCGGCCACTTCAAGGTGGAGATATTCTCTTCTGAAACTGGTGAATGGAGAAAGTCAGTTTTATCGTACTCGGAAACTAAAGATTATGGAAGGTATTGGTTTCATGGACGCTTAGTTACTTACAAAGGAATGTTGTATTGGTCTGGTTTTCATGGATTGGTTGTTCGGATGGATCCGTTCAACAAGAACAGTACTTGTACTGGTGTTGATGATATCACTACTGATAATTTTCATTTCACTGAATTTGGTAAGTGTGTAGATGATCGAATTAACAATAGAGACTACAGCTTAGGCATTATTATTAGAGACTACCACTTAGGCGGGTGGCAAGGGCGTCTGCGGATGTGCGAGCTGTTTGTTCCTTATTGCTGTCCAACAAAATATATTCTGTGTATTTGGGAGTTGAAAGAAGAAGAGACAGCTGCTCACGGCAGAGATAAATGGTGTTTGATAGAGAGTGCTTCTACGGACCAAATGGTTTCAGAAGATCCACTGATTGCTAACCAACGCGTAAGAATATATGAGGAATTGTGAGTTTATTACAGTGCTAGGTTTAGACCGAAATAATGAGGAAATCGTGTACCTAGATATGCTACATCATATTGTGACCTGCAACATCCGCACAAGAACATTAAAGATGGGAAGAAAGGGTTGTACGAAGAGTGATCTATCTGCTGCTTCTTGTTCTTGGTTTGACTCATATGAGATAGACATCTTTACTTTGGAGTTCCCATGTTGGCCAACACACCACTTCATAATTTACCATGAAATTGTATTTTGAGCTAGTTTATTTGATTTGTTCTAAAGTATTTTCGGGTCATAAAGAATGAAATATTTATTTATTTATGGTAAAAATATGTGTTCAATGAAATATTTAATAGCGTTACATAATAGTGAAATCAATATAATCATCTTCTATTGTTGAAATTACAAATCTTAAATTTAAACACTATAATAATGATAACTAACATGGAGGGCATTATTGCCATTTGAGGGTGATAAGAAAAAATGCACAATGGAGTTAATCATATTAGGATAAGGAATTTACCTACTATGCTACTTTAAATAAAGACACAATAGAGTGAGCAATATCACCTCAAAATTCACCCAATTCTTTCTACACTTTGCCGCACCCTCTCTACAACACATTATCGGCATCCTTTTGTCCATCTTCAGTCAAGGGACCATTACGATTTAATCATTCTTTTTTATGAAAAACATTATTTATTGAATTAATATACTTATATTAATTCAATTTAATTTTTTTTTTATGTTGAACGTGATACAAAGCACTAGGGATGAAATTTCAATGTTAAAAGTCAAATATGTTGGGCTTATGTGCTGAGACACAAGTATGATGCGTTTGTTGTGTTCAAGAAGTTCAAGCAAATGGTTGAGAAACAAAGTGGTTTTGAGATTTATAAAAATAAAAAATAAAAAAAAACAAACTGAGAAGTGAGGTGACAGAGGTGAGAGAATATACTTCACTGGAATTTGACTTCATTTCTTAATTTATTGGTTTTGATTCAGTGTATGCATTTCTCTAAATTCAATTTGTGTTTTTTTACTGTTTTGAGTATTTGTTACAATTTCAGTTGGTAATTTGAAACCAGCATCTCTTACAATTGCAAAAAATACACAAAACTGGAACACAAGGGAAAGATAAAGATAGATATGTTCTAAAGTATTTTTGGGATATAGAATGAAATATTTGATCTACTTTGGGTAAAGATAGATATGGAATGAAATATATAGTACCATTACATAACGGTGTATCTAATAATAGAATTTCCACTAAAATAATAGATGGATACTATATATGCTTATGCAATGTACAATTAGCTTATAAATTATTGTTACTAAAATCTTTGGCAATGTGGTGAACACTTGCAAACTTGAATTGTTTCTTGGGCTTTTCATACAATTTTTATGAGATGTCACCTCATTAAAAAAGAAAAATAGAGTTTTTGAGTGAGAATCAAAGTAACATGTTGGCATGTGTTCGTTGAAATTCACCAACTGGGTCTCTCTCTTCTTTCTGGGTTTTGCTTTCTTCCGCTACTTTTACACTTCCCAATTCTCTTCTCCTCGAATTATGGCTGAAGAAAGTTCCAAATCATTCACTGTCAAGGATATTCATGGTAACGACGTAAATCTGAGTGAATACAGTGGGAAGGTGGTTGTTATAGCGAATGTTGCTTCAAAATATTTAACACAATCAAACTTCAAGGAATTAAGTGTTTCGTATGGAAAGTACAAAAACAAAGATTTTCAGATTTTGGCGTTTCCTTGCAACCAGTTTGCAGGACAAGAGCCAGGAAACAATGAGGAGATTTAAAGCTGAATTTCCACTCTTTGACAAGATTGAGGTGAATGGGAAGAACGAGGTACCCCTTTACAGACTCTTAAAGGGGCAGCAAGGTGGGATATTTGGGAGTGGCATCCAATGGAACTTTAATAAGTTTTTGGGTAACAAAGAAGGGAAGGTTGTGTAGAGATATGGTCCTGTGACATTACCTATTAAAAGAGAGAAAGACGTCAAGAATTTGTTCGAATCTTCTTCAGTATCAAGGACAGCAGGAAGTGTATGGTTTGGCATCCAGAAAATAAAACGTGTTTGCAGATGAAGAAAATTATCAGAGCATAAAAGATCGATGTGTAAAGTTTGATTAGACTACAAACAACCTATATATCTTCATTTTTAGTGTTATGAATGCGTAGATGGATACTTGTTCAAGGTGTCTCTACCATACGAACATCGATATTCTAGCATCAAATAATCAAAACAGCCTATGATTTACATTAAAATAAATATAAAACATAAAAACTAACAAACATGTACTATATACTTGTTTATGGCAACTTATATGAATTTATTACTAAATTGTATGTGAGCAGTCATATGTTCGTCTTAGCTAAATAACCATGAAGTATACCCAATTATGACCGACTGATTGCATGGTGTATTCCAAATTGTCTTAGCTAAATAACATGAAGTATACCTAATTATGACCAACTTATTGCATGGTGTATTCCAAATCCAACTCTCAATATCGCTTTATCGAGCTCAAGTCTGCAAAACTGCGACGGCGCGTTTCAAGCGCCTCCCCCAAACTCTTTTGCTAGTGCATTAGTTCTCCATGCAACTCCTCCCCCAGCCATATTTGAACTGAATTTTATTCAATATTCTTGGGAAAACAACAAAAGGAACATTGTAATAGATTGCATATGTTTCCTTACACAATTTCATAATGTATATATATAGTTGACACTTGACAGAGAATTACCAAATTAATCTACGTCAAATTAACTGAAAGTACATACGCAGGGTGTCCAAATGGATATCATGCATGTTCATTTCAAAATAACAACGGTAGAAGAAAGAGAAGCAAATGGAGGGAAGAAGGATGCAAAATTTTGCCATATTGCTTCTATTTGGTTCGGCGTCGAAGTTCACTTCTCTCTCAATTTCTTGGTTAGGGCAAATATCGCGCCAACTACAGCCACGACCACCGCTGAGATAATAATGCTTTTCTTGAGCGTCTGCGCTGCATCTTTCTTCTCCTTCTCCCTCTCCTTCTCCTTCTCCTTCTGCTGCTTTCTCTCTTCAGCCTCTAATTTGTCCTTGAAAATAAACAGCGCAACATTATTAGCAAGACTGCACTGCATACAGAAGAGAGGCACAAAAAGAATACCAAGATTTCCAGACTTTTTTTTTACGAAACTTTGTTGGTAAAAGTGTTCGTGTTAGCTAGAAATAAGCTGTTAAAGGGTTATGAGGTTCACTAATAGCTTCACATGTAAGTGTCAATGGCTGTCTAGCATGGTATTAGAGATTTGGTTACTTAAGATAGTGGGACCAACCTTCAAACCCATCGCGTACTTATCACTTTTCGACAAAACGATTTTCACATTCCACTTTGTAAACTTGCATTCCTCCACTTATTTTCATGCTTTTCTTTTACAAAAGAAAAACAAGATACATTCAAAAACTACATCTAACCAAATACAATCAGAGGACTGATGACCCCAAAATTGGCTAAAGCAATAACCGCGAAGTGCACTTTTGTATTCAATTAGCAATAGCATCACAGTAAGGTGAGGAGTGCAAGCCGACAAAATATGATTGCGGAAATCACTATTTATCCAATATGATTGTATAAACACAACGCTAATAAGATTGATTACAAACTTTTAATTAAAAAAAAAAAAAAAAAACTACGGAAACCAAAAGAAATAAACAATAAGCGGGATATATATAAACCACATTTTGTCCTCCCTCAATTAAGTCCTAGTATTCTCGAGTTCTATGTTTTATTAAAAGTTTGTGGTTCCGTACGAGTATTTGAGAATACAAAAATTTGAGCGTTGTAAAAAATCACCTTGATTTCCTTGGAGGTAGTTACTAGAGACGATCCACTGTCTTCCTCAAAGTTCTTGTTAGTTCCTGGATTCAATTCTGCATCCACATTAGCTGCTGGAAATGTCGAATCCGCCATTTTCTTTGCAATTTCTTTCTTCCTGTGTGTTCTTTCTTTCTTTCTTTCTTTCTTTCTTTCTTTCTTTCTTTCTTTCTTTCTTTCTTTCTTTCTTTCTACGGCGGTACGAAGGGAAGGGAGCAGAGACTAGAGAGATATCAGAAGCAGAAAGAGAGAGAAGATGTGAGGCAGAGACACGTGTCAGTAGCTTTTTTCTTGGAACACACGTGTTGATCTCTTAGGTTGAGGTGCAACGGTTTGTCATGTTTTTCTGATTCTTTTAACTTTAACTAGCGTACTTTCTTGTTTTGTCGTAAACCATCCTACAAATCCACCCGTGACTCGTTCTAGGCCTATCCGCATTTGGAGGGTGAAGGGACGAGAGATTGTTGGGTAGAGGAAAGCCCCTGCTCACTAGTCATCCAAGACAAATAAATTCAGACATTTGGTTCCTCTTGTGTTCATCTAGAGCCAATGAGTAATCTTAGCCATTGAACAAGGATTCAACTACTGAGATTCTAGAACATGACATGAGCCGATTTATTCTTAGAAAACCCCACAATTTAGGTTTTTGAATGGAAAAAGGGTTCTGTCCGGATCCACTTTAGGATCCTCACATCTTAGCTATTCATTGTCCATCGTACGGTTAGTTTTCGTCAAATACTATTTGTATTTAATTTTAAATAAAAAAAAGTCAAATGATTTATGATCGCACGATGTACGATAAATGGCTAAAATGTGAGAATCCTAAAGTGAAGAGGATCCTCTTTCCATTCAAAAACCTAAGTTATGGAGTTTTCTAAGAATAAATCGGCTCATGTCATTTTCTAGAATCTCAGTCGTTGAATCCTTGTTCAATGGCTAAAATTTTTGAACCATAATGACCGATTCATTCTAGAATTTAGCTAAATTGTTACTTGTAACTAATTTTTTCCAACATTTTATCACTTTGATATGAATTGAACAATAAATGGGGCTTTTTATATCACTACAACTATAAGGAGACGATATGTAAAATCAATTATTTAAGATTTAGATATTTGCTACCGGAATTGCCCAGGCAAGTGGGCGAAATCTGACTGTTGATGCATTGTGGACTCCACTAACATCATCGATATCAATGGTCATGAATCGCACACGGACGTGGACGAGTGACGTCATAAAGAGTGTTGTAACGCAACATGCAAGAATTTCCCATTAATACAAAAAACAGATCGCGTACAAAAAAAGTGAATATACAATGAGCTTGATACATGGCCTACAGCAATCATGGAGAATATGTAATATGCTTGTGGAGTTGTACGCAAACATATCTCTGAGAGTGTAAAATACTGAGAACACGAATCTCATTGACATGAACTCCCGCTAGCTATGCTCCTTCAGTTTCCCCCTCCGAAACCACGAGGACCGGGCCGAGATGCCGAGCCAACAAACTGCCTCCTTGAATCAGATCGTCGCTTCCGTCTTGCAGTGCCAGGAGGAGCCTGAAAAAGGAGGAATCCCAAACCGTAAAAGATGTATCCACCATGCAACAACTGTCTATGATTAATGAATAAAAGCTGCTAAGTGCGCACGGCAAAACTAGATGGCGGAGACATTTTATACAGTTCGTTAGCATGGCATATAAACTACCGAGAGCGAACAAAAGTAATGGAAAGTGAAGCACCTTTTGTTCAGTTTTGAGAGATTCTTCAAGATTGTTCAGCGCAGGAATAGAGCCGCCTTCCATTACACCCATTAGATTCTTCATACGAACTCGCATTTGGAAGAGTTGAGCAACAAGTTGGCTCACCTGATATTGACATCATTAAGAACATTGCAGTTATATGTAGAAGCAGCAGCTGATTGTGAAAATCAAATATACATTCAACATCCGCAAGCCCTTTTTACGGGGAAGCTGATATGAGGACACTTAAACTGTAGGTAGCCATTGCACAGACCTGCTGCTCTGTTTTCCCGGACTCTTGAGCAACTCTTTTTCTCCTGGTTGAAGATTCTGCCAACAACTCTGGCTTCTCCTTTTCCTCTGTAATCAAAGATGAGAATCAGAAAGCCATATATAACCCGCAGCGCACCATGAAGCGGCAGTATTTTCATTAAATGGTAGTTTCAATAAATCAAAAGGAATAAGATACCGGGGGTCATCACTTCAATCATTGCTTCCATTATCTTCAAACTCTTCTCTGCTTCTCGAATTTGTGCAGGAGTAACCTGTTCAGTCAGGCAAATTGGAAAGTTCTAAGAATTAAATACAACCAAAATAAGGAACCCGCTGGATCTCAGCAACTATCAAATTTCAGGTCATAAGTGTATGTGTACCGAATCAAATACAACCTCCTAAAAGTAAATACACAGAATGGAACCAAACAGGCTTTCATACCTTGCCCATGCCAGGGATCATTCCAAGAACACGAGTCATGGAACCCATGCGTGCAACAGCACGAGTTTGTTTTAGGAAATCGTTGAAATCAAACTTTGCACTCATTATCTTCTTTTGCAAGTCTTCAGCATCTTCTTGTTTCATCTATATTGACAACTCAATTAGAAATAAATATTCAGGGAATCTGGTTGTGGAATTTACAGAGAGGATTAAAACCCCACTCACAACTTCTTGCGCCTTTTCCACAAATGAGAGAACATCTCCCATTCCTAATATGCGTCCCGCCATACGGTCTGGATAAAAAGGTTCAAGGTCCTCCATCCTCTCTCCTCGCCCAACAAGTTTGATTGGCTTTCCTGATACCTGCCATTAACTCATTATTAGGAAGACAATTACAGAAAAGTATTTGAGTAGCTTAACTATTTTAGCGAGAAGAGATGCTTCAAAACGCAACTACGTCATCTGAATGCTATAGAGAAATGCAAACATGAATAATATTGAATACTATTGAAAACAAAATTCTTGATAAATTATACAAACTTCAATATCATAAGTGATTCTTCCTCTACAAAGAGTTAATTATCTATTCCCTTGAGGTTTTCAAATCATGGTTTCTACCATACACGTTTATTTTTATCTTCGCACTCACTTGAAATTTAATGATGAATAATAAATGGGGCAGAACAAATGAGATTACTATGACAAAACAAGTAAGGCAACAAGAAGCAAACCTCTTTAACACTCAAAGCTGCTCCACCTCTAGAATCCCCATCTAGCTTTGTTAAAATAGCTCCAGTAATCCCAATCTCTACGTTGAATGTTGTGACTAAAGCTGCAAACTCAAAGAACATTGTCAGCTTACTTCTACAAGTATTCATAATTTGGTTTGTGGCATGGTAACATTACATTTTTGAAACAATGATCACTTGAATTGCGTCAATGTGTATTCACACACTAAGAACATCCAATGACATGCAAATTGATGACATATGACACAAATTAACAATTGAGTCTACGAATCTCATAATTCAGTTCAGATGGTATGAATTTGGTTTTTTATCTCGAACATTAAGTAGAGCAACCAATTTCCTAACTCTTATGTGTACATGAAATTGCAGATAGATCATATTTCTTTTCCTAAGTGGGTACAGAGATATGATCCACAAAAACTACCAAAACAAAGATTACAGTAAAAAACCATGCTTGTTTTGCTTCTCTGTCTAGTTTTGCAGCAATAACCGAAGAAAGGGAAAGAAAATAGAATCTGTATATTTGGGTGATTAAACTTGAAAATACATCAAAAAATTGAACTATCAGCCTGAAATCTGAATACCTGCAGCTTCTTGGCCAGTCATTGCATCCACAACAAGCAAAACTTCTGTGGGATTCAAAACCCGCTTAACTTCTTTTAGCTCATCCATCATTCCTTTGTCTATCTGATAAACAGAAGAAAACAAAATCATAAAGAAACTCAAGACAAAGTTAATATAACCAGCATACGTTCTCAAAATATCATCACAGAATTACACAAAAATGACATTCGTAAAAGAATTACCTGAAGCCTTCCAGCAGTATCCATTATTACTACATCTATGTTCTTCTTTTTGGCCTCCGCTAAACCTTGCCTAGCTATTTCTGAAGGTTTAGTGTCAGTCCCTGCTGTATATACAGGCACTTTTACCTGTTTCAAGCTTCAACTTTCACGTAAGAATGAACGCAGACCAAAAACTTAGAACATAAGAGTCGCTGGAAATTTAAAGTCGTTCACTTTATTGGCAATGCAAACCGCATACCTGTTCACCTAAAATTACAAGTTGGTCAATAGCAGCAGGTCTGTATACATCACCAGCAACAAGCATAGAAGTCTTCCCCTGTGAGTGGTGTATGTCAAGGGGTCAGAAAACGGAAAAAAAGAAAAGCCAAAAAGTAAATTTTGCATAGCTCCAATGCATATAATAATGGTATGGAAGAGGGATATGCTCGTGGAAATGCACCAGTTTCTTAAGGTAATTAGCCAATTTTGCGCATACAGTCGTCTTCCCAACTCCTTGTAAGCCAGCCAATAAAATAACAGTGGGACCAGATTTTGCAAAGGTAAGTTCAGACACCTCTCCACCCATCAGTTTCACTAGCTCGTCATTCACAATCTGAAAGAAGCCACAATTGACTATCATAATTCATTAGGAATCGATGCTTAAAATAGACTACCTAGCTTTTCCTTGAAAAGCAAGAGAATCCTGTATCGTTATACTGAAGAAAGTTGAGATTCCACCATAAAACCAATTGGCAATAGGGGGAGTAGCCCAACCTCTTATAAGCCCATGCAAGGTCCCCCCTCCCATCAATGTGGGACTCACTCTCAACATATACAGCGTGTGAAGTTACCTTGACCAATTGCTGATCCGGCTTCACTCCTCGAATAACTCCAACACCAACAGCCTGGTCACTGACAGCTTGCACAAACCTTCTTACAACAGGAAGGCTCACATCAGCTTCCAAAAGAGCCCTCCTTATATCTCTCATAGGCTCCGCTATGTTCTCCTTAGTCAAAACCTCTGCAGTACAAAAGCCAAGTGATCAGTGCGATCATGCTATGGAATTTTAAAGGGTTTTTTACATAGAAGCCCTTGATAAAATTAGACTTTAGAGAAAAACACTTCAAGGCCAATACTTTAGAAAGTAAAAATAAATCATGCCGACTCTTCAATTCGAGAAGCGCACCAATGAAATTTGTCCACCACTAAGAATCAATTAGAAAATGAAAAGTGACTCGTTGAAGGGTTTTTCTCCTCTCCAATTTAACTCTGTAAGGGCTCATTTGGGACTGCTTTTGTAGGAAGCACTTCTTCTCATAAGTGCTTCTTCTAAGGGTGCTTTTATTATAAACATGCAGAAAAACTTCATTATAAATCCAAGTGCTTCCTGGAAAAACATTTGGAACTTGGAAGTGCTTTCAAAGAAGCACATAGCACGTGCTTCTCCAGAAAGCACTTCAACATTCTAGTACCGCTTTTGGCTGTTAAAAAACACTTTTAACCCTTCCGGAAGCAATTCCAAACAAGTGCTTTTTAATAGAACTCACTTGACCCTAGAAAATTTGATTCAAAATTTTAAATCGTAGAAGGAAAAAAGATGTTTAGAAGAAGCAAACCTTCGCCTTTGAGCTTGCTCCAAGCCGATTCGAGCCCACTCGTCAACTGGCCAAACATTTCAGCCCTCACAATCCCCCGCAACTCCTTCCGAGCAATCGTAACTTGATTCGAATTCACCCAACCCCATATCTCCCTCTAACAACAATTCACCAACACAAATTTATCAGCAAAAATAAAAAAAGTACGAAACTTTCAGTGCCGACTTCAAATTCCAAATTATTTTCCTGCGTCTTCTCGGAAACCAAACAAGATTTGAGGACATACAGTGAACAAGTTTCTAGAAGTGAGCCAAGCGGGGTTGCCCGAAGCAGTCCAGGAGGATCCCAGCTTGACCGCCGGACTCCTCGCCGCCGCGTACTTGGAACCGGAGAAGCCTCTGTTGGTGGACACGGAATGCGACGTCGTAGACAAGTGGCGGGAAGCAACGGTCGAGAAATGTACGGCTTCCATCGCCGTTGAGATTTTTCTTTTTCCGGTTTCTCGGGCCAAAGCTGATCACTCTATCCAATCCAAGCCTGTTATCTAGTTCGTTTGGGTGATAAAATGCTTCACGGACCACCGCAATTACCATGGACCCTTCAACATCACGTGCCCTCTCAAATCGATCACGTGCAGCAACGTTGTGAATTGGATTACACATATTTTGCAGTGTAAGCTCCGAGTGTTATCCGATGTGGGAGTCTTCATGGAACGCTCGATTACGAGAGCTATCGAAGCAATGTCTCTTCTTCGAAGCTCTCACTGTTTACCGCCAAATGCTCCGCCGTGGCCACTCGCCCAACGCCTTCACTTTCCCCTTCGCTCTCAAATCCTGTGCCGCGCTCTCGCTTCCTTTGACCGGCTCGCTCCTCCACTGCCATGTGCTCAAAACCGGCTGCGAACCCGAACCCTTTGTGCAAACTGCTCTCGTTTCGATGTACTGTAAGTGTTGCTTGGTTGACGATGCACGGAAGGTGTTCGATGAAAATCCCCACTCGAGGATGCTGACTGTTTGCTACAATGCGTTGATAGGTGGGCACACTTCGAATTCGAGATTTTCTGACGCGGTTTTGTTGTTTCGTCGGATGAGGGAGGCGGGCGTGGCGGTTAATTCAGTTACAATGCTGGGTTTGGTTCCCGGATGCGCTGCTCCGCTGCATTTGGGGTTTGGGATGTGTCTTCATGGCTCTGGTGTTAAGTGCGGCTTCGACATTGATTCGTCCGTGACGAATTGTTTGCTGACTATGTATGTGAAGTGTGGGTCGCTTGATCATGCAAGGAAGCTGTTTGATGCAATGCCTGAGAAGGGTTTGATTACTTGGAATGCGATGATTTCCGGGTACGCGCAAAACGGGCTCGCTACTCATGTTTTGAGCTTGTATAAAGAGATGGAGTCTTGTGGTGTTTGTCCTGATCCTGTGACACTAGTTGGTGTTCTTTCGTCTTGCACTCACCTCGGTGCACAGGGCATTGGACGTGAGGTAGAGCGGCGGATAGAGTCCTGCGGATTTGGTTCTAATCCGTATTTGAATAATGCCCTGGTTAATATGTACGCTAGGTGTGGTAATTTGGTGAAGGCTCAGGCTATTTTCGATGCCATGCCTCAGAAAAGCTTGGTTTCCTGGACAGCGATTGTAGGTGGGTATGGGTTGCATGGACAAGGAGAGGTTGCCTTGGAGCTCTTTGAAAAAATGGTTATGACCGGAATTAGACCTGACAAAACTGTATTCGTGACTGTTTTGTCTGCGTGTAGCCATGCGGGATTGACTGATAAGGGGTTGGAGTATTTTGCTGCAATGGAGAAAATATATGGATTGCAGCCTGGTCCAGAGCATTACTCTTGCATGGTAGATCTTTTAGGTCGCGCAGGTCGACTCAAGGAAGCCAAGGAGCTAATTGAGTCCATGCCGGTAAATCCTGATGGTGCAGTATGGGGTGCCCTCTTGGGTGCCTGTAAAATTTATAAAAACGTAGGGCTGGCAGAGTTAGCATTCGAGCACGTCGTCGAGCTTGAGCCAACCAATATCGGTTACTATGTGTTGTTGTCGAATATATACTCCGATGCGAAGAATCTAGAGGGGGTTTTGAAGGTTCGAGTTATGATGAGGGAAAGGAAGCTCAAAAAGGAGCCAGGGTTTAGCTATGTCGAATGCAAAGGAACAGTTCATGTTTTCTTGGCTGGCGATAGAACCCATCGTCAGACTGAAGAAATATATAGGATGCTGGATGAATTAGAAAATTTAATGACGGAACCTGGCGTGTCCGATGAGAATGATCAAGGAAGAAACGAAGAGCAATTAGTTCACAGTGAAAAATTGGCAATTGCATTCGCGCTCTTAAATACTGCACCAGGGACCGAAATCGTAGTGATAAAGAACCTGAGGGTATGCGGAGACTGTCATTTGTTCATAAAGTTGGTAAGCAGGATTGTCGATCGCCAGTTTGTTGTCAGAGATGCAACTCGTTTTCACCATTTTAGGAATGGTGTCTGTTCTTGTAAAGACTACTGGTGATATCTCTTCGCAGACGTCTCAAATCAGCTTGGGTTTTGGCTTCAAAATCATGAGAAAAGTTGAGGTGAAGGTCGCTATCTTTGCTTGAATTTTTATTACTTATCGGCTTTTGGCTATTGAACACACAAACACAATGCCAGAGGACAAGTTTCCTGCAAGTGATGGGCAAATTAATTCGGACAAACTCAGTTACGATTTAGTGGGTTCGAGGAACTTCTCTGTAACAATACATGGGTTTGAAGTACCAACTGTTCAACAGAATCACTGGCTAGAAAACTTTATACTAGTTGAGCAAGACGACGAAGACAATTCTATCCGCCAATTGGTACAGCCGCATCAGTTCCTGTAACACATTCTTCTTCAACAAACGGAATACTTCTCCACACTGTCAATTCTATCGGAGCGTTTTCTTTACCTGGAAGTTGTTAAAATTTATACTTTGTAGAACTTGTTTCTCAATTGTTTGATTGATCCAAAATAATTATAAAAATTATTAACGAAAAGGAAAACGGAAGATCTCACCTCCAATGGTTTTATGTCTTTCCATGCAAATCGCAGCATAATGAGAGCCGGCCAACTCTAGAAGCGAAAATTGCCAATTTCTCGTGAGGTTCACGGGGCCAAAAGGTTCGACGCTGATTTCGGACATCTAACAACAAAGAGAATAATCAAAGGGAGGCCAAAACTTCTTCAAGATATGTAAAATGCATACAATCCCCGGACTCAATAAAACGTATTCAGTTTGATACCCATGGAAGATGTTGCAATAATTTTTGTTTACGAGTCTCTGACAAACCTCAGAATCTACATCCCCAGATGAATTGACGCCTCCCTTAGCTGCATCCCTGAATCGAATGGTGAAGGTCTTAAACGGTGAAGCAGAGAAGCCCTTTCCCAATGCTTTCACATATGCCTCCTGGAAAGGAGAAAGGAGATCCATGGCAATAAGAAAAAGCTTGAGAAAACATAACCCTAAACCCTTATTCGATCAGTCTCACTGACCTTGAGAGTCCATAATTTTATAAACTGTTGACGCTGAATTTCAATGTCCGAAACAGAAGATAAATGTTCCACTTCATGAGAAGAAAAGTACCATCGAGCAAAAGCTAAAATTTCGTTCTTCAACTTCCGTTTCTTATTTTCCACATCTATACCGATCTAAAATCAGAAATGCAATCACATAAGTTCCAAATTATAACTTCATCAACAACAATATTTATGCATACATAATTTTATATATATATACACACACATACTTGAATACTCCGAATACTTATTGGTGAATCCACCGTTACTCCACAAGCTATCAAGGAAGAAGTGTGCGAGAGGTTGAAATGCAACGGTGGTGGCTGCCAGCCATCCGCATTTTTCCACTCTACCTACTCGAGTAAGCTACAAGAACAATCAGAATTTGCACCGGAAAAATTAAAGAGCTCAAAGAACAAGACTGTAAGAAAAACCAAGCCAAGTAAATGGGAGAATAGATGACAACAATTTTCACTAGACTTGGTAAGAAAAAGAAGCATACCTCAGGCTTCCCATGACTGTTCTTTTTAAAGTTTAAGGATCTCGGATCAACTCGATGGTTTGTCTGATCTAGTATTAAACAAAAGAACGTTTAGATATCCACATTAACCATACAAACAACACAAACAGTCATGTTCTCTAACTTGTAAAAGCAAAGGAGAGTGACCTACATATCTAGAAATCGTAGTCCGAACCAATGCCCGGGCAAGCAATGCTCTTTTCTGGAGCTCAATCCCACGCATGCCCAAAACATTATCTCTCTCAGACGGTGACAGAAGCTCGAAATACCGATTCAAAAGGCCCTCACTCTTCACCTCACCAGGCAAAACATACCACAAATGACTTTCCCTGCAAAACCCATCATTTTTAAGACGCAAAAATTGAGATTCCGATTTCGAAAAGCAATCAAATGTCATTGAAAAATGTGGGTTTGGTGGCAAACACACGTACATTCGAGACGGAAGTTGAACAGGGAGCAGAGAGCAGAAATTGCTATGGAGGGCATGAATGTTCATTCTGTGAAATGGTCTGCGTCTGAATAAAATCATGCGCAATTCAACAATCTGTGACACTGTAACATAAGAGGGTAATCGACAACTCACGATTTGAATACGAAGGTAATGAAAACAAAACAAATCAAAAAGTTGGGGTTACCTCTGAAGAAAGCAATCTAACTTTGCTGCTGCTGGCGTCTACCAAGTACCAACACCAAGAAAAGAAAATTTGCTTTGAGAATTCGTTGAAGGTGATGTGAGGCTGCTAAGAAACATCGATTTTGCTCCGACGATGAAAGCAAAGACGGGGAAAGGTGGAAACTTGTGGAGGTTTGGGTTTTGGGCTCGGCGGGTTTTTTGACAAAATATGGAGCGGGGATTTCTTGACCCGATCACTAGTCCCGGCTCCCACTCACTTTAGTTTGTTTATTTCCCCTCCCCACCCATCCAGACCGGCTATTCCACGAAAATAATTGGACCGAGTCGATAAAACTCGGTTTGTATGTCAACCCATATACAACTGATTTTCTTATGAATTCAATATCAGGGTAGAATAACCACTTAATATTACGATTTAATGATATTGTTTTTTATTTGTAAGTGAAATGTCTTAAGTTTAATTTTCAATAAAGATGAATTTGAAATTTGAACTATTATTGATATCCCATTGTGAGCTTTTTTCCAAAAAAAATATAAAATATATATATCATTGTAGAATATTGTTTGTAAAAGAAAAATCAGTATTTCTGTTGGAGAACAATTCTGAAATAAATAAAAAATAACAGAACTTGAAATTCTAAATCTTTATTAATGAAAAATACTTGCAATACAGAATGAAATAACAGAAATAAATACATGAATTAAAATGGTAATAATAGATAGAGGCTAGCGCAAAAGTTATGTCTTTCGAACAGTATTTTTGTCCCACTCTTATGCTTGTGGTTTTACTACGTCTATTCGACTAGGATACAACTATCTAATTCTACAACACGCACTGGATTATAGAATTCTGACGAATTGCTTTGTGTGTTTACTCTCTGTAAGGTTTTGAATGGGAGAGATATAAAGGAAAAAGATGATCTACGATGGAACTAAGTCTTCAGTTATATAGGCTATTTCATACATTTTCAAATGCATTTTGAATATATTTGAAACAACGCAACTCTTTGAAAATAGTTGTGTCCAGTAATCAAAATGGTTTTTAATTAATTTAATTAAAAACTTAATCCGAAATTAAAATTAATGAACTCTAATTAATTTTAACTTTCTAGGCCCCAAGTGCCTAACCTAACCAAATTAGTAATGCACTTTGATTAAATATCGTATACACATGCTACTTAATACTACAATCTAGTTTATTTCTTTTTATTTGTAAACGAAAAACCTTATGTTCAAATTTTGAATGGCAAGTTCGTAACCAATTTATTCCTCTCATTCTTTAATAAAAATATATCGGTGTACTAAGACATCGAGATACACTCTTTCTTTTATGATTATTAATTTATCGAACTGAATTAAACATTTCAATGAAATGCATATTTCTAATTTCATTGCCAGTGAAACAAGGAATTTTCAACCACTTTCCAACCTCCACTTGAAAATGCAGAAAATGTTAGATCGGGTTAGGGAAATGTGTACATGGGACAAAAGGTTAAGAAGCTTCATCCACAAACAAATGTAAACATACACATTACATCATACAGACACGGACATACACATCATTTCCACAGAGGAAACACAAACGTAAAGCCAAATCTCCCTAACACCGGAAACACCTCCGAAACACTCTTCAACGCCAACCTTCAGCCAGCTCTGTCCTCGAATTTATGTGGCTAAGAATTCCACTTCTTTTGCTCTTGTCAGCCGTCACAGCAGTTTGAATCAGCAGCTGCTCGTTTACCTTCTTGGGGCCCTTTTTCAGACTCGGACCGCTTGATTGACCACTTTTGCTCTTCCAAATGTTTGGTTGAGCCTCTCTACCTGAACTCGTTACACCATCTTCTTGGGTCCTGTTTGCCAAAGGGCTAACTTGGGATACAACCTCACAAGGACAATTATCTGCCAGAAACCAGTTTCCTCCTGGAATGATATTCTTGATGGAAGATAGGAAAGTTTGAGATCCACTTTCTGTTGTTGCCCTTGTGGGATCATTTTGTGTAGAATGAAGGGGGCTCTCTGAATCAGGTTCTTCGCCAACAAATACGCCCTCCTCTTCATTTTCCTCGTTAGCCTCCTCTTTGGCCTCTTTGTGATATGGTTGAAGAGTGCTTTGGTGCTCATCCTCGTCAGAAGGCTCTAGGCGGGGTACAGGGGCTGTTTCCACCAAAGATTCTTCTCGTTCTTTTAGTGTCTTGACAATAAGAGTCTTGAGGAAATTCATCACTTGGACGGCATACATCAATGCAGTCAAAGGATCTACCATCTGTGAACAATGAAAGTTACACACTTGTTAATAAAAGTAATTTGATGACGGGTGGCTTAAACATATGAAAACATGCTGAAGGAAGACTATCACATCTAACCCTAATTGGAAACTGAAAAAAAGATACTGGATGAAGAAATTAATCACACCACGCAGCTATCAGATTTGTAATGGTTTTTCCTAGGTGATTCGTAACAAGACTGATTTCTGGTCTTTGAACATATTAAGCTTACAAAATAACCCAGCATTGCAATAAAAAGTCCCACCAAAAACTATACCTCTTTCTTATCCCATTCTAATTCATTCTGTATATCTTCAAGCTTCAAACAAAACTTGCCAAATCCATTGATTATGATAGTCTGATATTTGAGTTAACACATTGGCTCCCACTGTAGTATATAGAACGTGTAGGTGTGGATGTTGCTAATAACGAAGATTATGCATGAAATCGGGGTTTATTCAGTTTTATTGTTTTTCTTCTTTTCTACAAACTTTAGAGCATAAAGTTTTCACTCACGTGAGTCATGTTTGGTGCAAACACCATGGCAATATTGCGCGCATTCATCTTGTTGAAGTGTTCCATTTGTGCAACATCAGCCATTAGGTTTACTGCCCAATCCAATAATGCAGCTTCTGTTGGAGGTAGGAGCCTAACAAGTTCGGCACACTCTTCTTCCGACTGGGACTGCATTACCTGCTCTGGTGTTAGAGAGTCTAACACAGCAGTTGGAAGTTCTCGGAACCAAGCCTGAGAAGCAACAAAACATGAATTTTAACATCAAATGTCATTACATGAACTGAAAGGGCTCAACGATGAATTCACCTTTGGTTGATTGGGGGAGGGGACAGGGAGCAATGACAATAAGATGGAACAAATAAGAAAACTAGTCATTAACACATGGTAAAGCCTTACCTTAATAAGACCGGCCAAACAGTGCACGTCAATGCCCTCTGGTATCACTCCTCGATTTAATTGGTCCCTGACGTACTCCTCTTGACTGTTCTCACCATTAATTCTGAAGATTCCTTCAGCCTGCATGTATGACTGAACTTCAGTTTTTTATTGAAGGTAGTTTAAAACTTTGAATTATAACAAAGTGTCCGAAAGTATATCTTCTAATTACATTCTACCCTGGACGTGCTGGAAGAAAGGAACATAAGCAAAAGAGTGATATACCTGCAGACCCCCTTGTGCATACAAATGTCTTTGCATCAAAATGAGTATTGTTGGGACACTGTTCCCTCTGGCATCAAATGAAAGCTGCATAGACTCCGTTGAGACCCCAAAAACATTTGCGCTGCAGATGAAATCAATGTCAGTATAATACTTAAACTTTATTGATGCTGTTAAAGTGAAGAACAAAAAAGAAAACTAAACATAAATATACAACATTTGTCCAACAACAACAAAAAAAAAAAACACAAATATACAACAGACTATAAGTATATATAAAGAACATAGGCGTGCCCAGTCCCATTTTTTCTTCATTGAAGTCAACGTGCCAAATCCAGTGCTTATTCTGTATATTACATTTAGATATAAATTGCAAACCACAGTTGGCAGCACAAACATATTTCTCATCTTACTTGACCCTGACAAAGCACCAACTCCTTAACTCAAAACAAAACATGGGTGTAAAACATGAACACCGCCAATCATTTTCCAAGTATTTGAAATTCAAGAAAAAAAACCAAAATAAGAGCAAAACAAAGAACATTTAGAATCAAAACAGTACTCAAATTTGACAGCACATCATCACCGTAGAGTTGAATCGTGATGAAATTCTAGTACAACAGACATATTATAAGGTAAATAGAAAATTGGCATCCATCGTTTCCTGGTTGACACATGTTGAAGGATATAATTGATGGAACAAGCTACAATAATTGGTGAGTCTTTTGTGAAGAAATAAAAAAAAAAAAAAAATTCTACAGAGCAGAATCAGTGCACCAAATACCAGCAAGCAAAGCAAAATAATGCCATGTGCCAACACAGAAACTAAAACAAAACGAGGACATAATACGGAAAATTTCCAGCAAGGCATATCCGAACAAAAGAATGCATCTTCAAAACCCACCCAGAAAACACCTTAGAAATCTTTTATCCCCAATCTGACCAAATGAAAACCTAACACAGGGATTCCCAATACAAATTCAACAAACCAACTTTATCAAGATAAAAACTTTCAAGAATCCCAATTAGCAGAAACCCATAACTTCAAAAACCCATCAATCAAAACAGAAATATACATGAACCCCAAGAAAAAGATTGAAAATTTGCAATGAACCTGGCACTTGGAGCCCTCCTGGGGACCTCAGGTTCAAGCTCAACAGGCAAACCAAGAAACCCATTGAATCGATCAAAGGTGACATGGGCAACATGCCTGACATTCGAAGGCCACCCAATCTCCATGGAAGAAAGCTTCCCTCTTGCACTATTAGTACTACTGCAACCAATCAAAGACCTCCTGAAAGCAGTGACCAAAAGGGTCAGAAGCGAAAGTTGATCCCCCTCTCTGTCCCTCTCCTTCCTATTCCTCTCTTCTTCCTCTTCGTCTTCGCTTTCGTCGTCTTCTTCTTCCCCCGAAGCCAAATACCCATGGAGGGTGTCCTCTAAAAAGGCATGTGGGTATGGTGAGTCATTGGGTGTAGGTGAAGCAGTAGCACATGGAGTGGAGGAGCTTGAAGAGGAAGGGAAGTGAGATGGGGACGGCGTTTGGAGGACCTCGGTCATGTTTTGGAGGAAAAAGAAGTAGTCTTTTGGTGATGATTGAGGGTTAATTAATTGGGGTTTTTGACTAAATCTGAGACTCTGGGAAGACCCATAATTGGATTGTGAAATGTTTGGAGTTGGAGTTGGATTCAAGGAAAGGTTCTGGAGGAGGCGGGTGAGACGTGACTGTCATCACTTTTCATGATTTTTCTCCTTTCTTATAATAACTGTCTTTGATGTTAACTCAAGGATGGGACGAGTTTAGAGAGAGAGAGAGAGAGAGAGAGAGAGAGAGAGAGAGAGTAGGAGGAGAGAAAAGGGGAGATTGAGTGGTAGGTTGAGAGATGTGGATGGAGATGAGTAGAGAGAGAAACAGAGGAGGGAGAGAGAGAGAGAGGATATTGAATTGTTTACTGTTATGGAGGTACAGATTTGCAGGAATAGAAGGAAAAAGAAAGGAGTAGGAGGTGGGGTGGTGGTGGTGTTCCCACTTCACAGCAAAGTCATCCAAATATATATTTTCTGGATTTTGTTGCTGTTGCTGTAGCTAAAGTTTTATCGGCAATATGAAAGGCTTTGAGTTTCTCTCATAACAGTGATTTGATCTTTCCATTGTTTTCTGGTAGCCAATCAACTTTTAGCTTTTATATTTTCCTCGGGAATTTTATGCAACATTTGATGTGGGTATTCCAAATTAATAGTGCATTAATGTATGGAGAATTAAAACTTCGTGATTGATTTGAAATATCGTTATGATGACAGGTTTGTGCTTCTCTTCATCTCCTCCTTATATATACAAGGAAAAAACTTGGCTCCTCTCAAGATACCTTGTTGTTAATTTATAGAATTTTATTTTTATGATTAGACCCGTTCGTATTCTGAATCACTGTTGCGATCATTTGTGCAAAAAATCAAAATAATATGAGATCGTTTAGTCATCGAACTGTATAAAAATATATGAACAAATTCGATAAAAATATTACGAACCATCCATCTATTTGCAAATGATTGATTAAAAAAATTAGTTTTAATTGATTATTAGCATACAAGATCTGTATAGAATAATTGATAATATAAATAATTCTGATCATAAATACAAAGTTTTATAAATTGATCACAAAGTATCTTCAGGAATAACTCATTATCAATCTTGGAACCAAACTTCTCTTGTAACAATTAAAGGGAGCACTATACTAACCTTCAGATTATGGAGTCTTCAGCAGATTGTGATTTTCACGCCTGGTTTTTTTTTTTTTTTTTCTCTTTCTCTCTTCTGCACTTTTTCACTTGTTTTATATCTCTTCATTTTTTTATTTAGTCTAGAAGGTAGGAAAAAAAAATGAACAATGGGGAAGGGAAAAGCTAGAAACAAAATGAAGAGTGCGGAGGAAAAAAAATAGAGTGAAAACTTTTCATTTTGCCGACCTCTCCTATAGTATCGTCGCGGTAGTAGAATTTAACCACTAAGTTCAGGATGGATTGGTATGGTTCCTTTATGCCTAGAACATCAAAATATCGAACCATGAATGAAGAAAGGCACGAAAGAAAAACATATTGGCTAGTGATTGTGAGGTCCAAATTCTTAATTGGAGGGGATACCAAAGGCCTCTGCCCTTCCATTCCCTAAATGGATAAAAGGAGGGCAGAGCTTTTGGTTTGTCGTTACTCTGGATGGATTTAAGCATTTATTTGAGAAGACTTGAATAGCTATATGTTCTTAAGTTAAAGAATATAAAATTGATTAAAAGTGTTTAACGTACTTAAAACTATTTGTTTTTTAAATTTCTCTAATCAATTTCACGACGAGAATTCGACCCTCATACATTCTCTTATGAAATAAAAGTTTAAAGAAATGGTATCCTACTAGTTTATGGAGGTAAAATCACATTCTTACCAACATGATCCTATTTAAGGTAGTTATGAAAATGGAGGCCATAAGTCTTACGTGAAATAAAAAAAAAATAAGGCAATTAACATGCACATTTGTTTGTTGGGACTTTTTGGGAGCATCTAACGACTTTTGTTTTGTAGTTTAAGGTGGAATGAAAGTTAATAAAACTTGTTTTTTTTTTTTTCTGCTAAACCATGTTGATAAAATAAAAAATATTTGCTAAACTAAGCTTATGCTCAAATGAATGTGAAAGGCAAATGAAGGGCAGTTAACATCAAAGTTAGGGGGATTTTCTTTTTTAATACAAACTATAAGATAATTATAATAAATTCTTTTCGGTTACGAAGAGATCAACTTGGTTAAACTCATATTTCTTTCTGCATCTACATTTTAACCGACATGGTTAAACTCGTGAATAATTCTCCATCTACTTTCACTTGCGTTTCCTCTCGTCTTTTACTAAAAACGAAAACCAAAATGGTGACCAAAGAGGCATCAAATGTAGCAAGGGCCAAAACTGCATTAAGGATGTAGGAAAAGCAAGCACAAAGCACACGTGGATAAAGGGAAAATTGACTACTGGTATAATTTTCTGCTTTCAATCCAAGCTCGATCGACATTTTAGTTGCCGTTGCCGTTGGCTTTGTGAAAGAATATGCAAATGCCAAAAGTTGGAAACACAGAAGAAAAAGTGAGGAAGGAAAAGCAGAGCTAGCTAGTTGCTGTCGAGGCTGTCGAGCCGTTTTTATCAGACTGCAAAAGAAGCTTTAAAAGCTTTAAAACTTGCAGGAAGGAGCAAAACAGCTAGCCGTTGCCTCTTTCAAATTCAAAAATAACAACCGTTAGTGGTTTCTTTCATGCTCGCAATAGCTTTTGCTTCTACAAAGAGGGGATTTTCCAGGTCATCGTCAGGACCCAAATTTTGTTGAGCCTCTCCCCTACCGTTATCACTATTGTATTGATTCAATACACACGGATTCTAGTTAATCTCAGGGGTGGACATGTTTCGGTTTGGTCTAATTACCCTAATGAAATCACAAACCGCACCGTAGAATATGACCAATTTCATTCGGTTAGGTTTTGATCAAAAGATTCATTTGGGTTGGTTCGTTTTCGTTTGAGCTAATTTGATTTCTTTTCTTGAGTTTTACGCAGCATATAAAAGAAGCCGACATAGGCCAACATTTTCTTTTTGGATGATGCTAAAAAACCATCTATATGAACATATTTTGTATACGACATGATGTGACGTTTAATAATCGGATTTTTTTAAAATCCGACCATCATAGTCCAAACACTAAGACACGGACACATGAAACTGGTCCAGTCCAATTCAGATCGAATTAATGAGCCAAAATCGCATCACCCAAACCAAGCCTAACCAGTCCGGTTCAGCTTTGGGAGGTTTGCGGTTTTTTGGCCTACAACGAGACCAAATTTATGTGTTCAAACCTCGTCACAAAATGCATTTAGTAAAAGCTGTTTACAACAAAAGTAAAGTTTTCTCATTCAAAAGTCACTCCGGGATCAAAATAGACCCTGTTGCCTACTTCCGACGTTCGACATGCATATCAAGACACCATCCAACTAGACTGATATATCTGCAAAATATGAGCTAACTCAGTAGCTCGTAAACAAGTAAGACCTCGTCCCAATTCAACTGCAGGGGAGGCGGGAAGCACGCAGCTGTAGTAGCTCATTTACACAAGTCTAGAAAGTAGAAATTAGCAAAGAGAATAAGTCAAAGTGAGTCATACAATCGACATCCAGGCGACAAGTACATTGTATATTATCACAAGGCAACTAACTGGTATTCCATAAAAACCAAAACAAGTACATATTACCGAAAGAAAAAACATCTAACTCAAAGAATGCAAAGCCGGAATCATCACTGCATTTTAGCCACTGGTTCGAGTGCTTCAACTGTAACCACACTATTGCCTCGGATCACCTGCAGAAACAAAAGTAAGAATTAAGCAACCAACTTAATTACTGGAACATGTGGCAAATGGCATTGCAACTATAAAACTAACACACAAAAGAGGAGAAAACTAGGACCTACCACCATGCCAATTTCATTCTTTTCATTGCCATTCACTTCTACGGTGTTGTCCACAACCAGGTTCATGAACTGGTCAAATCCACGGAGGGTACCAACAACCATGCGATTAGCATTCAGCTTGACTGCAATCGAAGACATCAGTTACTTCAGCCCTTTAAAGTTTCTCATAACGTTAAAGAAAAGAAAATTACAGATTCCAATAGTATCAGGAAAATTGTTTCTGCACATGTTAGACATAAAGTTTTGACTTCTACCATTTCCCCCCAAATTTCAACTACTTCTCTACAAACCACTCCTAAATAGGAAAAATTTAGCGAAGTTAGCGGGGGCAAGTTATAACTTGATTTTCACACAACAATTCCAGAACATCCAGAGTTAAAAAAAGGGCAGATCCTTTCTAACTAATACAAATACATCTTTATGTGCTCACTCAGATGGACTCTGCATATGCAGCAAAAAGTGTCCCTACGTCACTAAATATGTACAAGAATAAACAGATTCCGATTCCAATGCTTGAATGTATGCAATGTAACTAAGTTAAAGTTGATGTTCACATTTAGAATTACATATTCATCCCACGCATGATAAAATCACCGCATATTAAGCGGGCAAAAACATTGAATCCGAAATTATGTTTAACACTTAACAGTCCGAAATCATGACATTCAGTAACAAATTACTGCCAAAGAAAAAATCTAAACCTGCACTCTCTAAAAGAGATGGGATTATCTAAACATAATACCAACTTTAACAGTTGAATTCAGCTAATTTTCGCAGGAACCAAACAGAACAAGAATACAAATCCAGCAGTAAAGAGAAAACAATAGGGGAGAAACTGCATCCAAAACTTACTTTGGAGCTTTTTGTCCATGTACCTATTGAGAAAAAAAAAAAAAAAAAAGCAACAAATTCCAATTAATTAGCATCCTAATTCATAAAAAATAAAAAAAAAATCCCACAAAAATAAAAATAATAGAGCAGAGAATCGGAACGACGAAATCGAGCATTTGAGACAGAAAAAAAAAATTACTTTTTCAGATCCGGAGGCTGGCCTGATCTGCTCATGGCGAGGAACTAGAGAGAGAGAGTAAGGTTTTGGGAGACGAAGTCGACTACTGCAAAAACCCTAGCGAGGGAAATTTCTGATCTCTCTGGTTTCTATAGAAATGGAAACGGGTTTTGCTTGAGAGGTGGGCCCATAAAATGCTCAGTAGCAGACACTTGGCCCAATCAAGCCCAATAACTGAAATATACAAAAAAATTAAAGGGGGTGTTGCGAGAATCGAACTCACGACCTCTCGCACCCGAAGCGAGAATCATACCACTAGACCAAACACCCGTTGATGATATTGGACCGGGAAACAGATTCTTGTACGTAAGACAACCGATGAACCATTGTACAAATTTAACCCTTTTTTTTTTTTTTTTTTTTTTTCCAATTGGCAAGCCTAGGTCTCCGAAAAGCCTATTTGAACTACAAGACTTGGGTGAAAGTAAAACCACAATCGCGTTTACCTTACATTTTTGTCTTCACAAAAAAAAATTGGATCTGACACGAATGAGCACTTTTATTCATTTATTCACTTCTTATCTCACTGACCATGTAACTAAGAAAAAAGTGATTTATCCAATTATCTGCAGTCATCAAGCATATTTTCACTACTTTGAGAAATATTTATGTATGCTGATTGTGCTTGTTCTGATCCAAATAATTCGTAAATACCTTGAAACTCATTTATTTATGAGTGGGTCAAATGATCTACATTATGTCATCGTCGAACACAAGAATTTCTCTATTACTCGATACTGACACTTGTGTATTAATAATTCCTTTGGTCGAATTTGAATTTTTAGAAGGTGTCTATCAAGGGAGTACACTTTTTAGGTACAAATGAGCCCAAATAAACTCGAAGTCTTGACCACCCTATGTCCCTTTATCATGTCTCCTAGTGAGTGGACTTTCACCATAACTTCCATGTCAACTATGCCTTTCTTTTCTTAGAGGCAAATGCCGGCCATGCTTTCTTTTTTTTTGTTTGTTTGCCTATAACTTGGGACTTTCTTTAGTCTTTGCTCTTGTGATGGCACTATTATCGCAGTGGATCAAATCTAACAGTGATTGTATCTTCGTACACGAAAATCCAAAGATGCAACATCCAATTCAATTTTAAGGAAAAGGGTCACTTTAGAAATTGTTAAGACATGCATGCCAAGAAAATCACGTCGAAAGAAACAACTACCTGATTCACATATTCTTTTCTGCTACTACTTCTTGGAAAGTTTATGCTCTCCATTTGACACCAATTGAGCCCGGAAGCCTAGAGTTGCCCAGAACCAGAGGGATAGGTGTTAACAATGGGGTGAATTGTGAATTTGGACCAGCGAACTGTTGGTCCAAAAGAAGCCCCAGGCACCGAAGGTTGCCAAACCAAAGCCAGCTTGGGATTGTTACCGTCGTCGGTTCCGATCGCATACTCATCATTCTCATCAAGCCCCTAAACTCGGCTTGGCAACCATTCGCCACCCTCAATGTCAAAAACATAAATCCCAGGAACATCCTCGTCCTCGTCCTCGTTTGTGGGATTACAACTCGAATCTACAAAAAAGTAGCGGTCTTTGTGAAGGACCACGCCGCTCCAGGACCACACACTACATATCCTGCGGCCGCCCTCACCAGCCTCCCACGTGCGAGATTCCGGATCAAGTTCTAAAATACGCTAGGTGCTAGTCGGGCGGCAGGTTGGGGCCTAATACCTAAATGAATTTAAGTAAATCTACTATATTTCATGTAAATAAGTGTCTGTTCATACTTAAAATATATGTAATTTCATTAAAAACTAATAAATAGAATGACATATATATTATGAAGTATTAAAACATAATGAATACATGAGGAACAAGCATATAATGTGTGTTTATTTAAGTATTCAACAAGTTTCTTACAATTTATTGAAAAAAATAAAATGCAAATGAAAATTATCTATTTTCTCCCAAGTGAGTCACAACCTAGGTGGGTGCCTAGGCGGTCTAGGCAGATGCCTCAACAGGTCTAGGCGTCTTTTCTTACTTTTCAAATACATAAGTATTAATCGATACGGTAACCAATCACCTAGCGCTTAGGTGGAGCCTAGACGACACCCAATGGAGATTTTTAGAACAAATTCATAACAAAGAATGTTATGACCAACATAGGCAAAAAGCTTGTTTTGAGCGACGACCAAAAGACTAGGGAAAGCAGAGAAAAACCTCTTTGGTATGGAAGGCAACTCCTCGTACCACCCGGTGGGAGGATGGACGAGCAGAAAGTGTTCATCTGTCGCCACATAAAACCAACCGTCGTCGCGAGCGGCTGTGACGATATCCGGTCAACCAAATAGTAACCATTACCGTCCTGCCGCCGCCACTGCTTTTCCCATTGGGCTTCCAAGTCTAACTGCCTAAATCTGAATACACCCGATTTGGGTCGTTAGTAACCAAATTTTAGCAACTCTTTGAAGTCTCCACCCACGAAGTATAGGTGGAGATCGTCGGATAGTATCACGCACGTGAAAATTCCCTTCCTCTGCCTGAAGTTGATGTGGGAAGAGCCATTCTTCTGACCCCATTGTAGAAAAAGGTATGTAGGCTAAAAATTATATTTGTTATTGATACATGAATGTGGAAAAATGGAAGAGAATGCAAATGGAAGAGAATGCTTATGGAAAAGAATGCAAATGGAAGAGAATGCTTATTTTTTCATTATCTTTCTCTACAAGATTACAAGGATATATATACATGATACAAATGTGTAGGTAGGACAAGGTAGCCGTCCTAGTGTGTAGGTAGGACAAGGTAGGACGGCTGTAGAGGACAAGGTAGCCGTCCTAGTGTGTAGGTAGGACAAGGCAGGACGGCTGTAGGACGGCTTGACGGCTGTAGGACAGCTTATTCTTCCAATAATAATATTATATACAATTACACAAGAACTCCAACCATATTCCTTATTTGTCTAACACCCATTGTCTACTTCTTCTGCCCATGGTTTCTCTTCAATAACGTACCACAAAGTCCTCAATGGGCTGCTACTAGAGCTATTGAAATTTGGTCGAGCCAAACCCACCTGCAGTAAGATCGGCGGGTCCCTCTGTCTCTGTTTCTGTCTCTTTACGATTACTGTTGCCAATTTTGATGCCGTCGCTGTCGTCCTGATTCACTTTCGTAATTTGATCGCTGCAACCCTAAGTCCTGCCTTTTATTTCTTGTCTCTCTTTTATACGTTCAAACCATTTCCTGGTTGGGTTTAGGGTTTACCAAAGGGTAAGTCTAACCCATCATGGAGTCATGCTCCATCTGTGTCCAAACTATAGACACGGCGTGAGGAGTCCCCTCCCCAACCAAAACGCATAACCTAGTTTAAAGGAAAACTTATTGTTACCCTGTCACGTTTACTAATTCATATTCAGATTGAAAAGAATTGAATTGAAGAGGAATTAGAATTGAATTCTTATGAAAGTTGTTTACTAAACTATCTGAAATTAGAGAAAGAATGATGTTGATTCCATAAAATTATTTACCAAATACCTCTGAATCGGAATTAAAACCATTGTAATCACCAAACCGTCTATGTTCTAAATAATTAATTTATGTGCTAGGTTTTAACTTTAATTTCCATATCAATATATATTTATAAAATATAGAAACTTTCTACCTCTTGATAAAATAATCCATAATTTTTCCCTCTTTCTCACCTCTTTAAAACCTCTTTTTTTTACCTTTCAAAAAAAGACATATTTCGTTGCAATATCAATATGCAATTAATCGTTTCTCTGCTATAAATACACCCTAGGCAAACTTCATATGTTATAAAATTTGTGAGGTATAATGAGTCAAAATCATGAATTCCTGATTGCACCAGAATTCAATTCCACATTGCACCAAGGAATCCAATTCCTCCAAAAATAGGAGTTGAATTCCATTTTTATATGGGCCCGAATATTCTTGATTCCTTTTAGTAAACAAAAGAATGATATGTAACCGTCATCGGATTCCTTATTTTCATTCCGATTACGGGTGCATAAACACGGCTTCCATTTCAACATTTTTATGGTATACAAGCCCAAAAAAATAAAAAGGAAGCTTCAGAGGATCCTATGGAAGCTTCATCTTCCAATAATTTATTGTGCTCCATGCCAAGTGCATCTTTTAATTTATTGTGCTCCGACTCGAGGCATCTGCAACTTGATTTTGCATGTTGACTTTGTGCTTTTAAGACCAATGTAAATTCTTGCAAGTATGCTGCCCACTTAGCATGCCTCGCTGAAAAAAAATTCATGGCTGTTTATATGCTTCAAAAAGTCATGATCGAAGCACATAACAAGCTCTTTATAGATCAGATAATGCCTTCAATACTTCAATGTTGAACAATTGCGTAGAGTTCCAAGTCGCATGTGGAACTTTTACAGATTTTGTAAAAGGGCTTTAAAAAAAATAAAATAAAAATAAAAAAGGTTGCGAGTGTTTGGTAAACTTTTATATAAATATGTTATGACTATGTTAAAAGACTAAAAATTGTTATCATGTTAGCTGTAAAGTAATAATAATTTTTATTTGTTATTTATACTTTACTAGCCTTTATGCACATGCTCACGTGCGTACAAAAGGTATTTTTTGAATCACGGTGTGCTAGAGTCGACTTACACGTTTTAAATGTATTTACATGCATAAATTGACAAAGTAAATGAATAATCTTAGATCATGCTAGAAGAATAGAGAAAATAATATTTAATAAACAACTGATTGGATCACATATGCTATGCGGGACTTACATATTTTAAATGTATTTATATGCATAAATTAACAAAATGAAAGTCAAATATTTGAAGTAAATGAATAATTTTAGATCATGCTAGAAGAAACCCCGCATAAACCAATTAAAGTAGCTGAATAAAAACGATCTCTATGAAAATTACATTAAGAATAGAGAAAATAATATTTAATAAATAACTGATTGAATCACATGTGCTACGCGCGACTTATATGTTTTAAATGTATTTATATGTGTAAATTGATAAAAGGAAAGTCAAATATTTGAAGTAAATGAATAACTTTAGATCATTCTAGAAGAAACTCCTCATAAACCAATTAAGTAGCTGAATTCACATAATAAAATTGATCTCTATAGAATTTACA